GAGGTCTCACCAAGTAGCCCAGGCAGGTCTTGAACCCGCGGGCTCAGGCAGTCCACTCACCTCAGCCTCCCAAAGCGCGGGATTACAGGCTGAGACACCGAGCCCGACTCACAATCAGATTTTTATTTTTATTTTTTTTGTTTTTGAGTTTGAGTCTCACTCTGTCGCCCAGACTGGAGTCAGCCTCGACCTGCTGGGCTCCGGCGATCCTTCTGCCTCAGCCTTCCGAGTAGCTGGAATTACAGGCATGCGCTACCACGCCCGGCTGATTTTTTGATTTATTGTAGAGATGAGGTCTTGCTGCCTAGGCAGGTCTCGAACCCGAGGGCTCAGGCAATCTACTCACCTCAGTCTCCCAAAGGCGCGGGATTATAGGCTGAGCCACTGAGTCCGGCTTGTCTCTCACTTTAAATCAAAAACTTTAAACAAGTAAACTTACCGAAGAAGACATGTCAAAAACCGAGAATATCCTAAAGCTACGTCTCTTGGGCCAAAAAGTTGGCTAAATTTTGAAGACAGAGAGCGAGTTCTCGAAGGAAATTAACAGTGCTACTCCAGTGAACACACATGATAAGAAAGCGAAACATCCTTATTGGTGGTATGGAGAGAGTTCTCCAGGTCTGGATAAGAGATCAAGCCAGGCCGAGTGTGGTCTACTTGGAAGGTTGAAGGGGAACAATCACAGGAGACTAGCCGGTTGAGGCTGCGGTAACCATAAGTGTGCCACTGTGCTCCAGCCTGGGAGACAGAGTGAGACTCTGACCCAAAAAAAGAAAAATCTGATGAACTAGTAGCAGAGCAGGAAAGTAGAAAAGGAAGGGAAAGGAGATGAGGGGACAGCGTGGTTTTCAGATCACAGGCATTAGGCAGAGAGGACAACGAAGCACCTGAATGCCAGCTCTTCCGGTCTTCAGAAGCCTTGGCGTAAAAGCTTGTTTTCTTCAGCACGTGGGCACTTGCTCCACAGCCACGATGACCTCCTGTCGAGGTTGTCGGTTCCATAGTCTCTCTGACCAACAACTGCCCATGACCCTTGCAGGGCTCTGGCGACTTGGCCTCTGTGGCTCTCCATGCCCTGCCTCACTTGTTTAAGTGCTTTTGTGATTCTGAGAAACACGCTCGGCAGTCGGTGCGTTTTCTCCTGTAGTTTGCCGGGCCTGCGAGGCTAGCCTCACTTTTCTTTTTTGAGTTGGAGTCTCACTCTGTCACCCAGGCTAGAGGGCAGTGGCACGCTCACAGCCACCGGGGCCTCGACCCGCTGGCCTCAGGCGATCCTTCCGCCTCAGCCTTCCAAATAGCTCGAACTACAGGCACGCACCACCACACCCAGCTACTTTTTTGATTTATTGTACAGATGAGGTCTTGCCAAGTTGCCCAGGCTGGTCTCGAACCCTTGGGCTCAGGCAGTCCTGTCACCTTGGCCTCCCAAAGTGCTGGGATTATAGGCGTGAGCCACAGTGCCCAGCCTTATTATTATTATTTTTTTAATTTATTGTAGAGATGAGGTCTCGAACCCCTGGACTCGGGCAATCCTCTGGCCTCCACCTCCCAAAGCGGTAGAATTACAGGCGTGAGTCACCCGCCCCGGTGGCTAGCCTCACTTTCCTTTTTTCTTTTCTGGAAGCAGGATTTATTGAGAGGACAGAAAAGCTCCCCCAGTGGGTTGCCACTAGTCTCACTTTTCTTTTTCCTTTTCTTGAGTTGGCGTCTCACTCCGTCGCCCAGACTGGAGCGCAGCGGCTGCTCCCGGCCACCGCAGCCTCGACCTGCTGGGCTCCGGCGATCCTCCCGCCTCAGCCTTCCAGGTAGCTGAAACTACAGGTGCGCCCTACCCCACCCGGCTAATTTTTTATTTTATTTGATTTGATTGTAGAGATGAGGTCTTGCCGGGCCAGGCCGGTCTCGAGCCGGCGAGCTCAGACAGTCCACTCACCCCGGCCTCCCAAAGCGCCGGGATTATAGGCTGAGCCACCCAGCCCGGCCTAGCCTCACTTTTGTCCGGTCAGTAACGACTCGCTCGGGAAAACTCGGGTGTCACCTGTCAGAAGAGCTCCCGGCCCGACACCTGAGCGCGCTCCCAGCACGCCTCTCCGTCTTTGTCCCTCCTTTCCAGTTCACGCGATTTGTGTGATTCGGACCCGCGCCGCCCTGTCCCGAGGGCACCGATTCGCCCCCAGCCCATCCCCGGCTGGGTGGGGCGCCCTGACACCTGCACGCGGCGGAGAGGAGCCACGTTGGGCCGCCAGCGACGTGGGCCGAGCCCGCGAGCCCGAAACAGCCCAGGCCCCCAGGACGCGTCGTGGGCCAAGGCCCCGAATCCCGACCACCCCAGGACCCCAGGGCCCGGGCGGGGGGAAAGGGCCGCGTCCAGGAAGCCCACCT